GGCCCCCCCCCCATGCTGCCGCTTTGAAATGTTGGGAGGAGCTTGACTCTGGGCTCCCGCAGCATTTCAAAGCTGCAGCGCTGCATGGAGCTAGGGGGTGAGCAGAAGCCCAGAGTCAGGATCCTTGCAGTGTTTCAAAGCAGCAGCACCACGTGGAGCTCAGGATCTGGCCCCAGGCTCCACTTGGCGCTGCCGCTTTGAAGTACCCTCTCCTTTCCTCCCCTTGACAAGCTTGTCGTCTAGTCCGTCACATCCCTAATTTGAAAGTTAAGTTTTGTACAGCGGAGGATAAAAAACCACACCATTTACAATCATTTCAGTTTTGTCACAAATTAGGGTTCTCTCCAAATTGAGAAGAATTCACTGCTGTAGGTTCCAGAAAATGAAATACATTTCATAACTGAAGTTAGCGCTTAGCAAGGATAAAACAAACAAACTTGCCTATATTAACTGAATCCTCCCAGTCTTCCAATATTTCAGTCACTGTAAGAACATAAACGTAAGTCCTATGCTTCCGGTCTTGGTTCTGCTTGAATGTTAGAAATACAAATTTTAATTCACAGTAATTTAAAGACAGACACTTGTTTAAATTCATGTTCAATTATATACATTAAAGTGTTCAATGTATCCGTTAGACAACAAAACCAACTCACTCTTGACTATTTGATATTCCTGTTGTAAAATACTTCATACTATTGCAGAATAAGCACAAGAGAATTCAAACATCTATTTTCCCTCCAAACAGGAAAGCCACCTTAGTACTGAACAGCATAAAAATTGAAAGTTAACAAAGTTGGACCCTATGAAAACTGAATAATATTTAGCACATGCGCGCGCACACACATCCACCCACCCCACCCACCCCCCTCACTCACTTCAGGAAGAGCCATCACAATAATCTAGTCTGACCACATAACACGTTATAGAATTTCACTCAACATAAGTGGAATGGACACAGCTAAGTATTCTAGATTTGTAAGCAAGACTGAGTTTTTCAATAATTAATATTCAGTTTAGATCAGCCAATAGATAGTATCATGAGCTTTCATGGGCAAAACCCACTTCCTCAGATGAGCAGGAGAACTGAGTTTTACCCATGAATGCTCATACCGCCATATTTTTAAAATACATAATTTTGTTAGCTTAAGGGTGTGTCTACACAGCACCCTAAACTCGAAATTAGCTGCACGGTGTACATATACCCTAAGGCTTTTGTTAGCTTAAGGGTGTGTCTACACAGCACCCTAAACTCGAAATTAGCTGCGCGGTGTACATATACTCTAAGGCTCTATGGACCTACTCGTTTTTAAAGTTACAGATTAACATGGCTACTCAAGACTATACGAGAGAATGCAACTTTCATCCTAAAGGTCTGACTGGTTAACAGGCCCTGCTGCTAACCTTTTAGAGCCTCTTTTCCTCCTTCCCTAGTCCCCCGACAGCTTACAGTAATGGGTAAATCATGGACAATATCCACGTCCTTAATGGCTGCTCATTGGGGACATTCCAAAGCCAGTGCTGTCTCTTTAGGGTGCTCCAAAGCAAAGGTGAACAGAAAAACGGACTGAGCATCCAAGACAGGAGGGCTTGTAGGGGAATTTAAGTTGGGTCAGTTTTTTCCAATAACCATCTAACTTGGTTTGTATGGACATGAGACTTAGGCCTCATCAACAGAATGTTACTGTGTGGCAAGCCAAGATGTATATCTACAGACTGCCATGCAGTATTGTTTCATGTAGAGAAGCCCTAGGGGTGAGTATGTAGGTGGTTTTAATTCAGTGCTTTGTTCCAGTTACTAAATACAAGTTTCAAGATGGTTATTGGTCAACATCACCATTGTAAGTTCCTAAAACCCTGTTAAGGCTTCTGAGTGATAAGCAAGTAGTGTATCCGATCCCTGTCTACGTATGGGATTTCTCAATTCTTCTACACAGGGACAGGTATGGACAAGAGACCAAACACTTAATGTTTTAGTGAGAAAAGTTGTTAAGAGGGATTAAGTGTTTTAAAAAACAACCCAATTAGTAATTGTTTTGATTAGACTGTACACAGCTAAATCCTCCTCCTTTATTGCTACACTACAATTAAGTGCTAATGTTTTCCCTATCAGAAAAGGTACGTCTAAACTACATTCCCCCTTTTGAAAGAGGGATGTAAATTAGACATATCAAAATTGCAAATGAAGCCGGGATTTGAATTTCCTGCACTTCATTTGCATAATTGTGTCATGGTGTTTTCGAAAATGCTATTTCGAAAGTGAAACCGAGGTCTAGATGCGGTTCTTTCAAAAAGAAAAGCCTTTTTCGAAAGATCCTGTACTCCACCCTCCACTCCCCAGGTGAATGCCCTATCCCATAAGCCACTTGGGAACCCAGCCCACCTCCCTCCCTTCAGGGCATCCCTTAAATCCTGTGCACGCAGTCAGGTCGCTCCCATGGTGGATGGAGAGGGGAGTGCCCAGAACCAGCTTTTCTTTTTGAAAGAACCGTGTCTAAACCACAGTTTCACTTTCAAAATAGCATTTTTCGAAAGACTGCCGAGACAATTATGCAAATAAGGTGCAAGAAATTCAAATCCTGGCTTCATTTGCAATTTCAATAGGTCTAATTTACATCCCTCTTTCGAAAGAGATGTGGTCTAGACATACCCAAAGACACTGGCTAGAGGGAGAAATTAAATGCCGGCTATGTGTAGATAACGTGGGAAGGTAAAGGAAATAATCCCGCATGTATCTGGGCAGTATTTTAAAACTAAAGATGCTCATATAAAGACATAATAGGATAGTAGCTGTGGTTTTTGATAAAATAGGGACGTGACAGTGGGAACCATATTGAAGAAATAAGGATGGCTATTTGCATAAGTCCAATATTGTTTTTCGTAGAGGGAAAACCGTAGGGGTGGTGGATGCTGAGGGAAGAAAAATCAAGTATAGACTGCCTACAATAAGCCAGTCTAAACCGCTGATAGTTACTCTTTTAAAGGAGTAAAGAACTTAATGTCTTGCTTGTTACTGTTACAAGCAACATTGAAAAACTACAGCAAAAATCAGAGGTCTTCTCCAACCCCTCCTCGCCCCCCGGATTCATTGTGAGCATCTGACATTAAACTTTGTGTCATCAGTTTCCTTATTTGTGTCTATCACAAAGCATCACGAGAAGCATTTTTTAAAAACTGGATCATAGTGGCTAACAAAACATTGAAAGATACTTTAATTTCTGGTACTAAAATTGCAACTCAAACTGACTAGATTGGGTCCCTTTGTCACCTACACTTCAACGACAAAGTAATTTGTGCTTTGCTGTTCAGAAAGCCCAATTTCTAGAACTGATTTTTTTAAAAATCTCCAAGATACTTTAAGAACATCCATGTTGTCTTGCATAAAACCAGAAGTAAACCCAAGGAAACGGACTGAAAGTTCTCAGAGAGCCTTAAAAGGACTAGGTATTGAATAAGAGTTGTCCCACTTGTATTTTAACTGATATTTTGTCTTCAATATCAAGCACCAGAGATGGTCTCAACTGGAGAAGAGATATTGGATGATGTTGGCCAGTGGTCTGAGGTGATATCAAGCATTTTCTCATGTCTTGCTCATGTGCTCAGCAACTAATTGATAGCCATATTTCAGAGTCAGGCAGGAATTCATCACCACTGTCATCCCCCATCCCTTTTTCAGGTACTAGTTCTCTTCTATGCCACATAGAACAGGTGAGAGGAAGTGAAGTCTTAGGAGGGCAATAATAATTTGGTTTAATTCCAGAGGTCTTTAGTATGCAGGTTGCTGGGTTGTATTCAGTGACCTATGATATGCTAGTGGTCAGATGAAGTAATCTGGTGATTTTCAGGCCAGAACAGACTTACGACTAAATTAGAAAGTTGGGTGTTGACCAAAAGGTGTAGTCAGCTTACAAGCCTCTACCACTCTGGTTCACTTTTTTTGGATTCCAAATGCCAAATCTATTAGTTCAGATATCCCCAATTTCTTCCAGGAAAATAGGGCAGAGAACACCAGGGATCTCCAACATCTTAAAGGCTTTCTACTTTTCAGGCCCTACACAGAGCAGCAAAAAGGCACATCTTTTCCAGAAACAAGCAATGCTTACATTCCTTGGAGTTTCAAAGAGGTCAGTTTCACCAGCCTATCAACTTGCATAGTGAACATATAGGCTTAGGTGTGCGTTTGGAGTTATATTTTAAATAGCTCACCTCAAATATCCCCAGCAGTCTGCCTAGTTTTCCCTTTACTCCAGCCTACAAAAAAGAAAGAATAAAGTATTACCATGCCCATTTTTCTTACATTCAAATCTGAAATCTGACTTATGCTTTTGAAATGAAGTTGCTACAAACCATATAAAAAAGGGATTACACAGGTTTATCAGGAGATACTGTAGATGTAGAATATTAATTCATAGAGAAATTTTGCCTAGGCACCATTATTACTTGATGACATAGGAACCGCCATACTGGGTCAGACCAAAGGTCCATCTAGCCCACTATCCTGTCTGCTGACAGTGGCCAATGCCAGATGCCTTAGAGGAAGTGAACGTAACAGGCAATCACCAAGTGATCCCTCTCCTGTCATCCATTTTCAAACAGAGGCTAAGGACACCATTCCTATCCATCCTGGCTAATAGCCATTGATGGACCTAACCTCAATAAATGTATTTAGCTCTTTTTTCAACCCTGTTAAAGTCCTGGTCTTCACAACCTACTCTGGCAAGGAGTTCCCACAGGTTGATTGTATGAAGAAAAACTTCCTTTATTTTTTAACCTGCTGCCTATTCATTTCATTTGGTGACCCCTATTTCTTATATTATCGGAATAAGTAAATAACTTTTACTCATTTTTTCCACATCAGTCATGATTTTATAGACCTCTATCATATCCCCCTTAGTCTCCCCTTTTCTAAGATGAGAAGTCTAAGTCTTTTTATCTTTCATATGGGACCTATTCCAAACCCCTTAATCATTTTTGTTGCCTTCTGTGAACCTTTTCCAATGCCAATATATCTGTGAGATGAGGTGATCACATCTCAAAAAATTACCCAAACTTTTTGATCTCTGAATATGCTTGTAGGGCAAGAAACTTGTACATTCAATAATTTGTGCATCCAGTAAGAAGATATGCATCTGATCTTACTGACTTATCACCACATGCACATATTAGCACCAAAGTGCAAAGAACAAAAAATGGCTGAAACTCACATGTATCTAGACCTAAATGTTATTTTATATATTCCTCGTAAGCCATTTTTACATTAGTAAGATATCAAATGGGATGTAGCAAATTAAGGTGAATACAATGAAATAAAATTAGGTATAATTTACCAAGGCTGAATAATCAAGTTAACTAAAGAGCCAACAGTCACTCCATAAGAATTATTAGTCCAGACACTGATGTCCATGAACATTGTCAACAGCTAAAGTAAATCAAAAGGCAGGACTTTAATACTGTTTTAGAATACTTGATATGTTAATCATAGTTACATGAATTGCCCCCATGCAACTGGGACAAAATACTTCACATTATACATGTTTCAAACAGATTTAAGTCATGCTCAAACCTACGATTGGGATCTCCACACCTGTCTTTCATCTCTTTTTAGTTAGCAAACATACAAGGCTAAAATTCAGAGTAGATCTCCACACCTGTCTTTCATCTCTTTTTAGTTAGTTAGCAATCATACAAGGCTAAAATTCAGAGTTTTATTTTAGAAATAGCTTAACATATGCCACGAGAGAAATTACTACTTCATTTTCTCCAGTTTCATACCTACAGGTAGCTTGAGATATTTCCAGTGAAGAGGCATTATTTATGCTTTACACTTTCGTCCAACCAAGCTACAAATCTAAATCTACAAATGTATGATTCAAGGGTAGCAAGTCCATCTGCAGACGAGGCTGTAACAGGGTTTTTGTACACCTGAAGTGTTACAACGGTGCTGCTGCAGCTGCACAACTGCAGCACTTCAATGTAGACACTATCTACATCAATAGGAAGGGTTCCCCTCATGGTGAAAGGATGTTTGGTTGGTGTCACGTTACTGAATTTGAGGGAAGCAGCCAGATCACTGCTACACCCATAGGTGGGGGTGTTGGCTCCAAAAATGGTATAAAAGGGGGCCATGTGGGGTGTTGAATAGAAGCTTATCGTCTGCTAATCCTATGGACGCTAGTCACGTGATTGTATAATGTATGTGTGTAGTTAGGAATCTGTAATCTGTGTGGATACTGAATATTTCTCTGCATGTTGTTGAGCATTGGGCAGAGCCTGGCCTATGGACATGCTAATTAGTGAGGCTCTGTGGGACAATGGCACTCAATGGGCCATGGACACACCTAAAGAATGAGGGCTGCCACCTAAGGGCTGCCAACAAGGAACACAGGGATAGGCCGCTGGAACAGGTGACCTGTTGCAGCCAAGAAGAGACCAGGAAAGATGTATAAAGAGGCCATGTGGCGGACTCCATCTTGGTACTCAGCTCAGCACTTCATCCCAGAGGCAGCAGTGCAGGGATTGAAGAGCCAGGAAGAACTGTGGACCCATCCTGATCCTAGGATGCACAAGGACTTTTAAGCCAGCAGCTGTAACATCTCTGCTAGAGCCTGCATTGAGAACTGGGAGATTCGATGCATGTAATGTACTATCCTTTAACAACCTTACTCTAATGCTTTTCTTTATTGTAGTAATAAGCCTTTAGATGTTAGATGCTAAAGGATTGGCTCAGCGTGATTTGTAGGTAAGACCCAGAGGGTAAATTGACCAAGGATCTGTGGCTGGTTTCTTGGAACCGGACAGAACTTGTTCGGGGTAGGTGGGATTGGGTGCTAGGACCCCCCCACCGGTGTATGAGGCCCGGGGCCATCTGGGGCACGGATATTCCTGGGGTGTCGGAGGGGTTTTGCTCGTAAGGCTTCAGGCAGGCTGCTGAAGTGCTCTGTGGGACTGGTTTGTGACCTGTTTGGGGACTGTAAGGAGCCCCGAAGTTGAGCAATTCACCCTGAGCGGACGCCCTCAGCTGTGCCCAGACACAGCCCGGTCCGTCACAGTTGGCTTAATGAGACTGCTCAAAGTTGTGGATTGTCATACTCTTCAGCAAGGTACTGAAGTCAGCTTAGGCCTGATACACAGTAGAAAACTAAGTATGTCCTTGTGGTATCTATAATACATGACTTTCCAGTACTATAAAGCTATTTTCCAGCCTTCAATCCCTATTTCATGTACTAGGCTAAAGAATCAGAACTGATGGTGTCTTATGTCTTTGAGACATCAAAGGAGAAAGATGGATTTTAATGAGAAGCTCAGACTGGAGACAAAGTGGGTAGACACTAACAAGTTGCTACAAAAAACTTGAACAGCAAATTAGTCTTGTAACACCTTAGAGACTAACAAAGGTAGATGGTATCATAAGCTTTCATGGGCACAACCCACTTCTTCAGATGAATGGAGTGTAGGGGTGCAGGGTACAAATGAATAGAGAAAGAGGATGGGGAGGGAAAGAAGGGGGGGAATAGGGGAAAAAATATTGTTAGAGTGCCCATGATAAATGAGACTAATAGAGTGGGCTCTAAGTATTCTAAGTGCCCAGTGCTTCACTTTTTGTCATTTGGATGTGGAATATAGCGACTCATCCAGTTAGTCTTTGTTTAAACTTCTATTCAAGGTGTCAAACTTGTTAATGAAACAAAGTTCTGCAGCTTCTCTCCATCTGGCTTTTGAAATATAATCTAGTCACTGGTCTTTTAAATAATATAGTCATCTAGATTCATTACTGAGCGCCCAGGCAAGATGAAATGTTCCCCAATAGGTTTCTCTGTGTTACCATTTCAAATAGTTGATTTGTGTCCATTAATCCTTTGTAGTAGAGACTGTTCACTTTGGCCAATATACGTGGCAGAGGGGCATTAGCTGGCACTTGATGACATAGATCACATTAGTTGATGTGCAGTTATATGAGCCTCTGATTTGGTGGCTTATGTGGTTACGTCCTGTGATAATGTCACTTGTATAAATGTGTGGTCAGAGTTGGCACCAGAGTTGATTGCAGGAGTGGGTTTCGAGATGAGTATGACAGTGGTGTGCTGTGTGGTGCTGAAAAGAATATGTTTGAGGTTAGGGGGTTGTCTGTAGATGAGGATTGGGGGTCCGTCTGTAGGGATAACATATTAAAGTATTTAAAATGATTCCCCCAAGTGGAAGTGACTCCCCATAATTTGTTCCCCACAACTTAAAGTCTAAGTAGCATAAGTTTAAATAGAAGAAGCATATAAGTGTTTAGATTATTTGTTAAGATTGATAAATGTTTAGATTTATAATTATTGCCCCTCTAGAATATAATTTGTTAGGAGTGTAATATTAGGTCATGTAACTTAAGAATTATATTTTTAACAGTTTTATGTAGCCAGAAACAGCTCCCCTCTGTGTCCCAGGGCATGCTCAAACTTACACAATTGATGCCCATTCTCTTCAAAGCACTGTGAAGCAATTAACCCTAATAGCAAAGTGAAACATTGTAACTATAACAGTAACTAACTCAGCAAAGAAATGCCACCCAGAAACTTGTGACTTTGTAACTACAACTCTGTAACTACAACTTTTATTATTATACAAAATACTGTATGTGAAACAATTAGGGAATGTATGTAAGAGAGAGTGCTTGGACGATGATGAATGAATAGTTTTGAGATGTGCCAGCCTGAGAATTCAGCAACAAAGGGCTGAAGAAGGCGTCAGGTGCCAGTGCAAACAAAAGGTGTCAAGTGGAGAAAACCAAGTACTGGAGGTCCACCCTATGAGATCACTGACAATCACCTGACAGCCACCCTTGACATCAGCATGATGCAGCAATTCCTATAGACTGGTATAGGAAGAAATTCCTATAAGAACTGGACTAAAAGACTATGGAGTCAGAGTCCAAGGTTCTGCTGCCAGCCTACCAGGAGCTTCAGATGTGCATCTGATCAGGACTTCACTCCCCACTACCATCACTTGTGTACAGAGTACCTGGTCAGTATTCTGTCACAAGCAACTTCCAGGCTGGTAACTAGAACATACATACATACATTCAGGACTTCCAGGCTGGTAACTAGAACATACACAGAACCTGAGTGAATGGATGAATGAATGTTTATATATGTATGTGTGTGTATGTATGTATGTATGTATGTATGTATGTATACGTGTGTGTGTATAAGGGTTAAGTAGTGATAGGAATAAGTAGTTAAACAAGGTTGTTTACTTCTATCTTTTCTTTATTCTTTATTATCTTTACAATAAATGTGGCTTTTTGCCTTATCCCCCTCAAAATCCTGCTTGCTTTTATTGATACAACACCCCAAGGCTTTAGAGAGTGAGGGGTCATTTTCCAGGATAAGTTATAGATTGTTAATGAGCTGGAGGGGTTTAAGTTGGGGGCTATAGGTGATGACTGGTGGGGTTCTGTTTTCTTCGCTGGGCCCATACTGAAGATGCTGATGCCTGGCTACTCATCTGGCTCTGTCAATCTGTTTTTTCACCTGTGTGGGTATTTAAGTTTTAAGAATGCTTCATACAGAGCCTGTTGTCTGTGGGACTGGAGCAAATCCAGTTGTATCTTAGGGCCTGGCTGTAAACAATAGATTGGGAAATGTGTCTGGGATGGAAGCTAAAGGCATGTAGTTAAGTGTAACACTCGGTAGGTTTCTGGTATAAAGTGGTGGAAATTTGGCCTTTGTGTAATTGTACTGTAGTGTCAAGGAAGTGGCTCTTGTGTGGACTAATCCAGGCTAAGATTGATGGTGGGGTGGAAATTGAAGAATTCCCCAGGGATTTCAACAAGGGTCTCCTTTCTGTGGGTCCTTATAATGAAAATGTTGTCAATGTAGCATAAGCAGAGCAAGGATGCTAGGGGGTGATAGTTGAGGAAACGTCGTTCAAGATCAGCCATAAAGATGTTGGCATATTGTGGGACCAAGTGGGTGCCCATAGCTGTGCCACTGACTTGAAGATTTAACTTGTCCTCAAATTGGAAGTTGTTGTAGCTAAGATAAAAATCACAGAGCTCAGTAACCAGGTATGCAGTGGTGTCATCAAGGACAGTGTTTCTGACAACCAGTAATCCACCATCGTGTGGAATATTCAGATAAAGAGCTTCTATATCCATGGTGGCCAGGATGGCATTTTTAGGAAGATTATTGATGTTCTGTAGTTTCCTCAGGAACTCAGTGGTGTCTCAAAGGTAGCTAGGAGTGATGGTAGCATAGGGTCTGATGAGAGAGTCAACATAACTGAATAATCCTGCTGTAAGTGTGCCATCACAGGATTTCTAGTTTTATTGATCTTGGGTAGCAGACAGGGTGTGTATGTGTGTCTGTCTGTGTGTGTGTGTTTTTGAAAGACATTATTAGATTTTATACATTTCCAAATATTGCTAGCCTTTAGCATGCATCTAAATAGGAAGAACTTCAGTTTTAGCCCATAATCTTTTGGACCCAGCAGAGAAAATTTATACACACTACAGTCTTACCTTCTGTTTCCTGTAGGTGGAGCAAAACCCATACTTTATAGAGAAGCAAAATGCTAGCTTGTGTATTTTAGAACACATACAAACTCTGAAGTTTGATATGTGAGCTAAAATTAAGATGGCATTGAAGGTTCACCAAGACACTGAATAACCAAGCAGTAATTTAATTTACTTTAAGACACTATTCTCACACTTTTGGAATGCCCACAAAATGAAATCCAGTGAGTTTCTCTTGCAGGAAACAATTGCTGCAAATAATGCAGAACTGCAGTCAAGAGAAATGTATATACTGGAGAACACTTTACAAGACTCACTCTGTTTTAGGCACTTGCTGCTGCTATATTTACCTGCGCAGCCACAGATTCAGACAATTGCAGCTCCCATTGGATGGGTTCACAGGTGCAGATAAATCTGATGGTGTGGGGACCAGACAGGGGCTAACTTTAGCAGACTGGATCTGGCCTGCAGGCCATTTGCCCACCCCTGATCGAACACCCTCACTTTAAGTTTAATTATATACATTTCACTTCATTGTAGTTTATCACCGATGTACTTTATTTTAGCTGGAAATTAGAGATGCAAATCTCTTTATCACCGATGTACTTTATTTTAGCTGGAAATTAGCTATGCAAATCTCGTTGTAAAATAGATTTGTTCAAAGGCATTAGTGTAAGCGTGTAACTGCTGAACATGTCAGTGGTTATATGTTCACATGCATGGGGGCAGGGCAGAGGCAGAAGCTAGTGCTTACAGGGCTTTTAAGCCAACTCCCTGTGAGCACCAGCACCTTTGAATTACCACTACTGGTATTCACTACATAGTGCTTATATGTTGTGTTTAACTCATTAAATGGGACTTTGGAGAAATTCTGCTGCAGTGCTTTTAGCAACTATGCACGTCAACAAAATATTCACTGCCAAAATCTTTTTACAGAAAGATTTTTGGTACTATGCTACTGCCTACATAGTGTTCTCACACAAGTATACAAATAGATTACTTGATACCAAAACATTAGGGTTTTTTGTAGCATTAGAACAGAAACTCTGCCCTCAAATCAAGTGGCAGAGATATACTACTCAAACATTTTCTGTCAGGAATTTGAATTGGTGTTCCTCAATTTAAAATAATCGATATACTACTCAAACATTTTCTGTCAGGAGTTTGAATTGGTGTTCAATTTAAAATAATCTAAGAATCCCTTTCCTTCAACTAGTCAAGTCTCATTACTTGATTTAAGATGTACTATGTCTACAAAAACCCAGATTTCAATCTAAATATTGATCAAAACCTACTTACACAATGTATTCTGATTTGCATTAAAATGGAGATATGAGTCCTAAAAATTAAGTCTGAAATAGGCTAAGTTATACATTTTTGGCATTTGTAGGTCATTGGAATTTTAGCAAATTAAATTGAGAAGTTGCTGAAATTCTATTTTTGTTTAAGATTGCTATCTGAATGTGAGTGAAACTGTCAATGTTTACCTCTTCATAAACCTCTCGAACTGCAGCACCTCCTGGCTCCTCCTCTGGTTCCATTCCTCCACCCGGTACAATCCACTGATCTGGATACCGGCTACTACTCACTAACAGTACCTAAAATATCAAAAAAGACACACATTTAAGCAGTCACTTGAAAACAATCTGACTGAAGACAGTCTGAAGCTGGCATGTCAAACTCGTGTTTGGAGGGCTGCATGTGGCCCGATGGAAATTTGTGGCCCCCAGAACATTTTTATAAGAGAATGAAGTGCTGGCCACTTGGAACATGTAGCCGAGTGCCTGCTCACAGCTGGCCATGCTGCTCTGTGCATGCGCTCATGGCTGGCTGGCTGCTCACAGCTGGCCACTGCTCATGCTGCCCCAGCACCTGAGGCAGCAACATTGACTTTGGGACCCACATATTAGGTTGTAGAGTTGCCAGGTGTCTGCTGCCCCAGCACCTGAGGCAGCAACATTGACTTTGGGACCCACGTATTAGGTTGTAGGGTTGCCAGGTGTTTGATTTTGAATTGGACAGTATTTGAGCTTTCTGTTGGAAAACAAATCGAGAAAATATTAATGTCTGGTATTTTCTAAAGATGTAATGTTGATTGTGATGTAATGTCAAGTGTGTCCCATATTTTTGTTGAAACCATCTGGCAACCCTATTAGATTGGGGGAGAGGAGGCATTGGGGTGGGGGGGCTAGCTCTGGGGGAATGGAGGGGGGATTTGGTTAGAATGGGGGCATGGGAGGGGCTTATTCATGATGCCAGGTGGATTATACCTTACAAAACGTAATCAGAACTCAATAACCTATAGCAAGATTTACATGTGAAGTACCAACTCTTAAAACGCCTTGAGATTAATACAAAATTAATGTTAAGAGTCAAGATCCTCAGGTTCGGGATACTCACTTTCTGCACATGTGTAAATAGGAAATGTTTTACCAATGTGATCTAAGATCCTGACTCTTAAATGAACTATATCAAGCTGATTTAGAGTTATACCTTTCTAGACTGCTGATGAGGCTTTTGTAAAAGAGTCCATACACATAGAATTGTCAAAAAATGTAAGATGTACTAAGATATTTCCCTGAAATTTTTACAACATTGGGCTTGCAAGATGTAATGATGCAACTTCACCGGAACTTGTCCAAGTTAGAGAAATACAAAAAAGCCCAAGAAGTATGCACTGTCTTCACCGGAACTTGTCCAAGTTAGAGAAATACAAAAAAAAGCCCAAAAAGTATGCACTGCAAGTTACTTTTTTCTTCAAAATGTACTAATCCAAGTTTAATAAGTTAGGATTTAGATTTAGTGTGTTCTATCTTCATGTTTCATCATCTATTTTGCATTGAAATTAGAAGGCACATACACAGGGCGAACAACAAAACAAGTCTGTTATACATACTATCAATTCCTAGAAGCCTAAGTCAGAGCAGGACTCTGCTGTTTTAAGCACTGTACAGAGAACAAGAATGGCTTCTGCCCCAAGGAGCCTTCTTGTTTAACTGTTAACACAATAGAATTGTGCAGTTCTCACCATTAGCCAGAAATTTAAAATACTTATTTCACCATCGAGCCAGGTTGGTACTTAAGTTAGAAGTTACACTGAATGCTTTTTATATAAAAGGGAAATATGATAAAACCATGAAAATGGAGCTAACTTATTTCACCATCGAGCCAGGTTGGTACTTAAGTTAGAAGTTACACTGAATGCTTTTTATATAAAAGGGAAATATGGTAAAACCATGAAAATGGAGCTAAAGAATGTCTGCAGTTAATAAAATTACATGTATTTGAGCCATTTCTGCTCTGACTAGTAAATTCAATCTCTGTGGTGTAAGATCTGAAGCAGTAGCCGTTATAGTAGCTACCAACCTGTGGAGGACCCTTGAGCCAGATTTCCTTTGATGGAGCAACTTGATAGTCACCAAGTCAATTTACAGGGCAGCTTGACAGCATCAATCTATACCCTTAGCCTTTTTCTCAGGGCCCAATGGCCTAAGTACATACGCAGGAAAAACCCTTAGCCTTTTTCTCAGGGCCCAATGACCTAAGTACATATGCAAGTCCCTTCCACTCAGGGTAATAAGGCCCAATGGCCTAAGTACATATGCAGGAAAAGCTCCCCCACACAGGGGAAAGGGGACCTGGGCCCTCCCACTGCACTGAGTCCCAGGCCAGGGCCCTGTTGGCCTTGGCATGGTCCACTGCTCACTCAAGGGGGAATCCTGCTACAACATGATGAGTGCTCAAGGAGCGATTCCCCACCCTGGGCTACTTCCTACTGGTACCTGGCAGATGTGTACCCTGTATGCGGATTCAGGTTCTGAGGCTCCTTAGGTAGCACCTCTCGGCCTGGCTGCTGTTGTTTGGGCTGGCTGTGCTCCCCCACAGGAGTTCCTTCAGCTCCACCTTCCCCTTCAGGAGTCAGCCCTGACTGAGCTGCTCCAGAAACCTTTACAGTCAATCTCCAGTTGAAGCATGCCCAGAAGGGCTGTGGGGAATAGGGCCCTTTCAGCCAGCTGAGCCAAGGTCACTCCATCAGCTTCAGGGCAGGCTTGTCACACCCAGACATACACACTCCCTCAGCCTCTCACCCTCACTCCCCAAGCTCAGGGATCTAGAAAAAAAAAACACAGCCTGAGGCGGAGACCAAGACCAGGGCTTGTACAGAGCCACTCCTTCCTTCAGGACAATCGCTATCTAACATCCCTAACAACTGAATAAGTGTGTAACCGCACAAAATATTATTGGTTACACAGCTATTTCATAGTCCCCGGGGCAGGGCCAGTAGCTAGTGTGCTTCCTGGCTCCACTCCTGGAGAGCCCGTCACGCTATACTGCTGCCAATGTATCACAGGCAGAAGTGCAGGTTGGCAGGTGGTAGCCAGTCCGCATGGGGAGCTGGTTTAAAATCTTTTAAGCTGGGTCCCTTCCCCGCCCCAAGAACTGACTCCGGCCTGCCCCCTTGCTACCTCTGTGTGAGGCAGCAAGCGGGGGGTGGGGGAAGAAGAGTAGGCTCCATGGAGCTGGTGCACAGAGTCAGATTCAAAAGATGGTTCTACATGCATATTGGCTTCTGCCTGCCCCTCCCCTCTGATACAGGGGCAGGGGTGCACGGGAAGAGGTGGTGGCTCTGCAGGAGCGGATACATGTGGGCAGCCTGCTTGACAGCTGGCTTCTCACATGTACCTGCCTCCGGCCCCCCCCCTCCTCACACTCCGCACTGCTGCCTCTATCAGAGTTACTTGGAAGGTTTTTAAGTTGCTTTTTGAGCATTGTTTAAGTGGCTCCATACTCAGAAATATACATGCCCTTTCAGGTTACCAGCTCTAAACTCCATCCTTCCTTGCTGCCTCTGATGCAGAGGCAACAAGTGGGGGGGTAGGGGCAGTGAGTGTAGTTGAGAAGATGAACCACTAAGCCCAGGCTTATCAGTTAATCATGTAGTGGACTACACACGGACATCCAAACAACATAGTGGGAACCTCAGTTGCCCCAAACTCTCAAGCTCATTCTCCCTGACAGTATCCTGTATTTTCAAGCCAGAACACCCACTCTGCTAGGTCCAGCTGTTCCTAGTGGAAGCCAGCAGTTCTGTAAAGCCAATTCTGCATGGAAAAATGAAATACTGTGCAAAATGTTAATTGTGTAAATCCCTCCTTGCACAATGGCACAATTTCCCCAGGAGCAAGTCTCACTGAAATTTCTGAAGCTACATTAGACTTGACTGTAGGAATAGGAAAGGAATAGTGATACAATAGAGTTCCGATTATCTGACCTTCGGCAATCCGACATTTTGCTTTATCCGACCCTGCAGCTCCTGGCACTGGCAAGAGAGGTACCAGCGGCTCCAGGGTGTGGGCCGGGAGAATGGCCCCATTCGCTGCCCTGTCGCTCTCCTGCTGGCGCCGCTCCGTCCCTGGAAGCTGCAGAGTCCGATGAATGGCCCCGCTCACTGCCCTGGCAATG